TTGTGAGTTTCTTTATAGTTTAATGTTTCCCTGATCTTCTTGGATTTTGATTGTCTTGGTATGTTGTGTAGTTTTAATGTTCTTTGAGGTTACCTTACATTCCATTAACTTTTCCCTTCATTTAGTGCAGTCTATTTTATCCTGTAATCTACCTGACCTTCTCACCATCTGGATCTCTGTTCCTAAGTGTTTACCTTCTTTTTTACATTGTGATTGTTTTGATCATAGACTGACCTTCCAGATTCTCTGAGTTTGTTCTGTTCTCGACTCTTCCATCTGTCGATTTGGTTCTGGGAGGTGCTGCCACGTATGTCAGTCTCTGGTTGTTGTCTGTTCTTGTTGATTCCCAGTACACAGAACTCCCTTTAGGATGTTTTGTAGCACAGAGTTGGCTTTTACAAAATCCTTTAACTTCTGTTTATCCTGGAATGTTTTGATTATACCATTGTATTTGTTTGATAGCTTTACTGGATAAAGGATTCTTGGTTGACTTTTTTTTTTTCTTTCATTCAAGGTTTTATATATGTCACCCCATTACCTTCTTGCTTGCATGGTTTCTGCTAAGAGATCCAAGCTTAATCTGACTTGCTTGCCTTTGCATGTAACGCTTCTCTTTTCCCTAGCTGCTTTCAGGATTCTGTCCTTTTCTTTGATTTTGAAAGCTTAATTATTATATGTGTTGGTGATTTTCTTTTGGGGCCTATCCTTCCTGGGATTCGTTGAACTTCTTGAATGTTTATCTTTTCACTTTTCATCATGTTAGAGAAATTTTCTTCCAGCAGTTCTTCAACTATTTCCTTTCTTATTGCCTCCAGGTAGATGTGATCAGAATGTAGGCTTCTCTGTTCACTCTTGTTATTGCTTTACTCAGAGTAACTTTCACAGGTGTTGTCTGCCTCCCTGGTATATGGTAGTTTGTATTGATCCTTGCCTGGATTTTGGTGTTTTATAGAGTGTGATTGTAGGTTGACTATGTGGCAGCAGTTGCTGTCTCTTCTTGGGTAATATAGGGAGAGAAAGTGTCTCCCAATGGTAAAAGGTGGAGCATAAAACAGCAAAACAGCAACAGCAAAATAAACAAGGAAAAAGCAACAACAACAACAAACAAAAAACTAGATTGGATACTGTAGTGTATAATCGCAGAAAAGGGAGAGGAGGGAGAGAAGGAAAAAAAAAAATTCTGTAGCTTAATATGAGTATGACTTTAATGTCCTCTTTCAACTTCTTGACTTCAAAGCCTGCCTGATACATTTCACAGTGCCACTGTTGTTTGTTATGGCGGACCTCAGGATTTAATTTAATTTTCAGCCTGTTTTGTTTTTAAACTCTTTCTCTCTCCACCCCCTTGTTCTGGCGTTTTCGTTATTAAAAAACAGTTTAGGGCCCGGCTCTTGGACTGAGAGTTTCTGTGCACATTTGTGGCAGAATAATCCACCAGTGGTGGGGGTGGGGAGTGTCCACTCTCTCAGGCACCCCCTGTAGTCACCAGAATGGAGGTGTGCAAACAGTGGGGGGCCAATGAACAGATACCAAAAAGAAAAAAAGTCATAACCAAGCAAAACCAACAAAGTGTATTGTCTACCTTTGCTCCAAGGTTCCTGCAGCATCATTCCATGACTGATCTGTTCCCCTGCTTAGTCTTGCCATTTGGTCTTGCCCAAGTTGTTGTCTCAAGGCCACTGAGTTCGGCAGATTAAAAAATACATGGTTTCTTACTTCCGTTACAGTTTCCACTAGCTGTAAGCCTTCAAACTTTTTAAATATTCTTACCTATTTGGTTCAGAGCTTTGGAGCTCCACCCTGAACCCTCTTCACCTGGTATTCTGTGGTATTGCTGATGGCTAACTACACTGCACCTCTACGCCAAGACCTGCCTCACACTTCTTTATTTTAGGCCTCTATGGAATCATTTCCTAAACAGGAGACAACTGTAAAAGTGTGTTCTTACTTTGCTAATTGCTCAAGTTTGCTTTGCCAGTCATGGATAATCAGTGATAGAGCTAGAATTCATCCAAGAGAGTGAAGAGAAGCCTGAAGCCCATGTTCTGAACCCCAGGTGATGTATGCACCTTTATTTCCTGATGCTAGTATCTCCCACAGGTTCTTTTTGTGGTTGATGGCAGAATTTGAAGATCATTTTAAGCCTGTGGTTGATTCTCGAGACATGATTTTGCAAGGAAGGCATGCAAAGTCAGTTCTTTGAATATCAGGTTGTTGGAAATTTCTGGCATTGGCTGAAGTCATTATAACCTTAGTGTGGTTAGTGGAACGATTGTCTCTGTTCTCAATATTTTAAAATAATTTTTCTTACTACTTTACCTTTGAGACTGATTTCATAGAGTGTAGTGGACATGTTATAAACATTTGTTGTTGTTGTTAAGTGCCCTCAAGGTGATGCTGATTCATGGTGATCCTGTATAGCATTTCTGAGGCTGTAAATCTTTGCTAGACCAGAAAGTCCCATCTTTCTGTCACAGAACAGCCGATGGACTCAAACCGCATGCCATTCTACAGTTGCATGACATATTTCTGTAAAGCCAAAGTTGTGTTTTGTTTCTAGGGTCTATATCGAAAATCTATTCTGTAATTATCATTCTGTCACCCTCATCCCACCACCAGTATTTCTTTTCTTTCAGGTTCTAATTAGGATCGCTAAGTCCATTTGGAAAAAGAAAAAATAAATTTAAATGTTAAAGTTATGTGAGAATTGTTAATTGTATTAAATATTTGTTAAATGCCATCAAGTCAATTCTGATTCATAGCAACCCTATATAGTGTTTCTGAGGAGTGGCTAGTATGTTTGAACCACTAACCTTGCGGTTAGCAGGTTTATATAATATTTATGCAACTGTAATTAGTTTGTTTCTTTTATGAAATTTGAGTGTAAATTTAAATGTTTAGAAAGCATACGTAATGAAAAACAACATGTGAAGAAGAAAAAGGACATTACCAATATTGAAGCCTAATCCCAGTCCAGTGCTTATCCTATAGTGCTGAGAAAGGAGTGGTGTTGGTGTTGATGGTTTTGTGCTGTCAGGTCAGTTACAACTCATTGTGACCATGTGTATGGTTTCCAAGGCTATAAATCATTATGGGAGTAGAACACTTTATCTTTCTCCTGTTGAGTCACTGGTAGATTTGAACTGTTGACCTTGCAGGTAGTAGCCCAGCTTGTAACCTTCTATGCTACTAGGACTTCTTGAGAAAGTGAGTTAATTTTTACTTTATTGCTGATGTTGTGGATATGGGCAAGCCTCCTAACAGATTCTTCCACTTAGGTGGACACAGATTTTATCTCTGATCCTTTCTTCCATGCCCTGCCAGACCATGAAATTGAAGCTCTGATTCTCAAGGTACAGCAAGTAACTTCATGATTTCTGCCTACCTCTTGGGATTCTTTCCCACCATTCCCCCCCTCCCCCGCTTCTCTTTTATTAGTCATTACTGGTTTATGAGTTCTTCAATGCATTTGCAACTTTTTTTTTTTTTTCCATAATTTGTCTACCATTTGAACTATTTTTATCTCTCAGATAACCTGGGAATGGAAGACCCCTATATTCTAGTTTTCAGTTTTTAAACATTTACATAATTCTCTGCTGCTTTCTTTTCAGGTGTACACATTTATCTGGTTCTGGAAGAAATTCATGTTGATTGTATGTCCTTTACTTTTTTTTTGGCCTTTTTCTTTTTGAATGACTGCATAGTAATTTGACACAATGTATGTAAACAGCTGATTACATTACTTGAGTTGTTGGAAATTATTCTTCTTATTAGGATGCACCTGGACATGAAGTAATATAAATACATTAAGAATGAAATGATAATTTGTTTAGAGTTTGTATATGCGTTTACCTGTGTGTATGTATTTTCTACTAGGCTGGTACACTGAATAATAAAGAGTCCAGCTGGAATTTCTTGAGACTGTTTAATGGATATGCTTACAATGGTGTAGAAACTTTGGGGAAGGAGCTCTTTCTATACTTTGGGCCAAAAGCTTTACGGTAAGATAAACCTGTGCAATATATTTTATCTCTCTGTGTTTAAGGATGTATTGAAGGTTTTTCTTGCAGTTTTCCGGGTGTCACATTTAATCATATGGAAAGTACTCTATTTTTAAAAGCGCTCTCATATAAGAGGTTGAGATTCTATCATGAAAGGCAATAAGCAGCAGAATAATAAATTGTGATATCATCATTACTTGTAGTACCAGTCAGTTTATTTCTTTAAAAAAAAATGATATAAGAACTTGATTGAACCTCAGCATAGTGATCCTGCTTGGTCACCTTAGAGCAGGTGGTGGGCTGGCAACGTCTTGCGTATGGGGTCCCCAGCCGATCTCCTCCCTCCCTGCCTTCCTCGGATGGCGGCTGTTTATGCTGGACATGTGGCCAGAGACGGGTAAGGATCACGTGGAACCTCGGCAACTTAAGATAGAGCCATTGCCATGCTGCAATGAGTTTCAATGACTGGTAAGACTGAGGAATTCGCACTGACTGCCTAAGACAGGCAGCGTCCCTTAAACAAACAATAAATAAGGAGGATTTGGATGCAGACCGTGTAGACCCGGTCAGGAGGCCAAGCCCCTGTGGGCCCAAGCATTGTTGACCGTCCAAACCATAGGCTCTGAGGATCAGACTCTAGCTACCTAGTAGACATAGCAAACTGTCCCTCATCTGATTATTCAGTAATGCTTGTTAGTAATCTCATACATGAGCCCTGGATATCCACAGACAAATGCAAAAACCTTCCCTAAAAGCCGAGACTGTAAATTCCAAAAAGGCAAGTCCCCCCCCACCCAAAAAAAAAAAAAAAAAGCTAAAGAGGATAGAGAGAAACACTGTTAACTGATGATATATGGAGGGGATAATAATCAATGTAATGAAACAAGCTATATGAATGGTTGAATGTGAAGCTGATGATGTGCCCTGTAAACTTTCACTCAATCCAAAATAAAAATATTTAATTAAAACAAAAAAATGATAGACTAGTGGGACTTCCCAAGATGCATTAGAGCAACAAATCTCTATTTTGCTATTTCCCATAGTCTATACACTGCTATTCTTCTCTCTTGTTCCCACCAAATGTTTATTCCATTCAGTGATATTAGTTTCTTTATATTTGTGACAGCTCCTCATTTAGATCAAATATATCACTTAATTTTTATTATTTTCTGTATTCTTTTTTTTAAAAAACCTGAGTAGAATTCTAAAACTTTCCACAGGAAAACATGTTCTCCATTGTTTCACAGAAACTTATGGAAATAGTCTGCAACATTTGTTGACTTAATGATAAAAAGGATGTTGAGATTTTTTTGTAATTTCCAGGGTATAGTAACCTGTTTAATTTTTACAGGAAAACAAAAATGGTCTGGGAGTTAGTATGTCTGTTATAGCTCTGTTTGTCTTTTCTGAGTTTAGCCAAAGTTATTCCAAGTGATAGAAATTAGTACTGCTTCTTTGAACCTTTTTAAAATGTTTCTTTAGGATATAGAACACTTATCCTATTACTTGACCCTGTTCTTGTAACAGAAGGTATATAGCCACAAAGAACTAACCTGACTACATGATGATTACTTACTACATTTCATCTACCACATATTTAGAATACTTAAGAGTTTATGTAATTGCTTTTCTTTTGAGGTGTTCTTTCCTCATTGTTAGCAGCTGCTGCCCTTGGACAACATTGTCACTTCATGATTTTTCTTCGTCTGGAATTGGTATTATGAGTATATGCCTACTGATTCATGCAGTAATGATATATTGCAGGTTACACTATGGCTGTAGTAGATTGATGTGATTGAAAACTCTTAGGTGTGAACAAAGGAGTACACAATGGAATCCATATGAGATAGTAGAAAACATTGATATGGTATTGATTCTCTGTTGTTAGGTACAGATTTATTTCGGTAGGATGAGCGGGAAGTGTTTATCAAGTTCTCTCCACCAGACAGATAAGGAGGAATCATTTGTCAGTGCTGAGCTGTCAGTAAGTGTTCCATGAAGTTCTAAACAAGGGCAATTGTCTCTTCAAACTAAACAAACTAGTACAGTCCTTAGAGAGTAGGTATCTCTGGGTATGGGTGGGGGGGAAGTATAGTGGCATGCTTCCTTTCAGTTTCCTCAGTCTTAATGACTATTGGATATAACAAGTCAAGGTCAGTGGCAGTTCAGTTGTTTCAATTTAGACTGTTGTTGTTGTTGTTGTTAAGTGCCTTCGAGTCGGCAATTTAGACTAAGCAACCCCAAATCAACTATCCTCTTTGCCAATCCACAGATATTTTTTAAATGCACCCCCAATCTACATTTTCAGAAAATGGATACCTGTGTCAGAGAATTGTGAGCTAGTGTGAGGCTGCAGGTCTGTGAGCATGAGATAGAAATGTGTAGAGTTCGTGTTTGATCCATTGTCCATACACCAGACTGGTCTGTACCTTAGAGAATAGTAAGAAACATGCTTAAATATAGCTTACTGTTTTCTCTTAATCAGTATTTCATAATCAAAATTACCCACAGGATTTTAGTTCTAATGCATGTGCATCTCACAAGGCAAGTTGTGAATCTTCTTGGGATTCCATTTGATTATGACCGTAGAATGCAGGTATATGGCCCTCTTTGAAATAATATGCCATGTAAAAACCCAGACTTCAGAAAGAGACAAATTATTGTTGTTAAGTGCCACTGAGTCATTTTCAACTCATAGCAACTCTGTATATGGTTTTCAAGGAGCAGCTGGTGGGTTTGAACTGTTGGCCTTCTTGTTAGCAGTCCATTGCTTATCCTATAGCACCACACCAGAACTGCAAATTAAATAGTGATTATTCCAGTTGCTAAAGATTTATTGAAGTGCTCATAATAGTATCATGTTATTATTGACTGCCATTGAGTAGGTTCTGATTCATAGTTACCCTGTATAGGGTTTCCAAGGCGCGGCTGGTGAGTTTGAATTGCAGGCCTTGTGGTTCAAACCTACCTTAAGGTCCAGTGCTTTATCCCACAGTGCCACACCAGGACTCTAATAGTGCCATTGTCATTTTACATACATTTACATAGCAGTACAGCTTTTGGTGTTATATGTGATTACTATCTGTGGTACTTTGAAACACTCACTGAAGCTTTTCAGCTAAAACAAATTCTTCTCAGGGTTTTTTGTTTGTTTGTTTGTTATAAAAGTAATTACAAAAACTGACAGTATCCATCCCTCCCATGACACACTCTACTTCTCATCTGGGTTGGATAATTAATTGCAATGGCCACACAGGACTCAGAGACGTGGAATTTATTAGGGAATTTAACAGGTTATATAATTCAGGGATAGAAATGTTCACTGCACAGTTCTTCCAGTCAGAACAGCCACTTTCAAGCAAGCATCCTGCCCAAAGCCATTCAGCTTTACTTGTTCCATGGGCTGGGATGCTCATTCTCTGTCTTGTGCTCTGGCTTTTGGTTCTGCTGCTGCTCCTCTGACACTTCTGTTACTCCTTAATACCACAGTTTTGTGTCGCTGGGTTATGGAGTTTCAGTGTGCAGAGATCTTGGGATTAAAGGACTCACTCCACTCCTTAGGCTTCTTGGATGGCGGTGAAATCCTTCTCTCTTCTGCTTCTGAGATGGTTGATTTTATAACCAGCAGGATGGCAAATGTGGCCAATCACAATTAGTCTTGTTAATAATTCTCACAACTGAATCATAATCCATCAGCATCTTCCCCTACCTTCTCTTATCTAGAACAACTTACAAAGAGTATGGCTAGAAGAGACATTAAATAATATACTGTACTACAGTAAAAAATGCTCACTAGAGAAAACAAATAAGAGTAAAATAATGCTTTTGCAATCCCACTACCAAATACAATATCAGTAAACTTTGTAGACATACCTCCTCACCCATGTTGTTGTTGTTGTTAAGTACTGTGGAGTCGGTTCTGACTCAGTGACCCTGCACAGGGTTTCTGAGGCTGTAAATCTTTATGGGAGCAGAAAACCTCATCTTTCTCCCATGGAATGGCTGGTAGTTTTGAACTGCTGACTTTTAGGTTAGCAGCCCGATTTGTAACCACTACGCTACCAGAACTCTTCACCCATACCCACCATTAAGATGAAAATGGATACAGCTGTTACATTTTGGATTAACATTTAAAAAAATGTATTCTTTTAATGAATAGCTCCAAAACACAGAGCTATTTCTGAGCTGTAATTTATATGCTTCAGATTGTTTGCAAGTTTCATACATACTTAGAGACCAGAAATTTCCCACCTCAGAAGATTCTGGATGGAATTCAGGATTCCCCTATAGTCTTATGTAATGCAGAGGTTCCACAGGAAGCCTCCTTCACTGGGCATGTTGTAACCCCATTTTAGGTATTCCAATCAATTATAGGCAAAAGATGGACTTGCAAGTTTCTATGGTGATATTTCTGGCTATTCCTTTCTCTCCCCCTCAAGTGTCTATTTTAATAAAAAATACCTCTTTTGAACAACATAAAATACACAATGACCTCACCAGATGGAATACACAGAAATCAAATAGACTACATCTGTGAAAAAAGACAGTAGAAAAGCTATACATCTTCAGCCAAAACAAGGCTAGAGACAGATTGTGGAACAGACCATCAGTTGCTCATATGCAAGTTCAGGCTGAAGTTGAAGAAAAAGAAAACACATTCATGAGAGCCACAATATGAACTTGAATATATCCCCCCTGAATTTAGAGATCATCTCAAAAACACATTTGATCCATTAGACAATAAAAACTAAAGTCTTGAAGAGTTGTGAGATGACATCAAGAACATTATATGGGAAGAAAGCAAAAGATAATTAAGAAGAAAGAAATAAGGAAAAGACCAAAATGGATGTCAGAAGAAACTCTGAAACTGGATCTCCAGTGTAGAGATGCTAAAGCAAATGGAAGAAGTGCAGAGATACAAGAGCTGAGAAGAAAATTTCAAAGGTCAGCTTGAGAAGACAAAGTCAAATATAATAGATTGTGCAAAGATTTGGAGGTAG